TTAAGGCGCCTTTTTTGTAATTGGGGGGTCCGGTTTATTAGGGCGTTTCCTTTGGATTGGAGTTTAGGGGGTCCCGTTTATCAAGGCGCCCCGTCGAAGAGGGGGGTCGAGAATCTACACATATATATATATATATATCTATATATACATATATATATATATATATATGTATTTATACATACATATAGGTATATCTATGTATATACATATCTCTGGTCGCATTTGGAGGGGGGTCCGGTTTTTTAGGGGGGGTCGATTAATAACGGATTTGGAGTACCCACAGCAGGGCCCCCCGCGCCGACTTCGACGGCATGTTCGGCGAATTTGTTTCAGAGGGGTCCCGTGGCTCCGCGCGGGCCCCGTCGCCGGTGCTCTTAGCGCGCAAAAGCCTTGTGCTTAGCCGTTCGCTGCTCGCTCCCCTCTTTCTCTGCTGGTGCTGTCGTTGTCGTCGTCTTCCTCCCTCTCTGCTCCCCGCTCCTTCCGTGCTGGTAACACCGCCTGGCTCTCGCCAGTCAACCATAAAGGTTGCAATCCGCGTTATTTCCATCTCCTTCCCCTTCCTCGCTCCAGTCCTCTTCTCCCGTCCGGGTCCGGAGCGACCGGGCCGGGCTTGCCAATGTCGATCAACGCGCCATTGATGCGCTCTGGACGCGATAAGACAGGTGGTTTTTCTTTAATGCTGCTCTGGCTGGGCCATGTTCCTTGCTGATCCAGTCCAGGCTGATAAGGTTTAGGTTGGAATTCGTAGCGATAGGACTGTGGATTGATTTGTCGGGCTTGTTAGTTCACGTGGTCGTGCTCGGAGCTTGGATTCGGAGATTTAAATCAGCACTCCTGCCAGGTTCCTCTGAGCTCGGATGTGCGCAACGGCTCGCCTATTGCAGGTTGGCCTGAGCGCTGGTCCATGTGTTCTGGTTTCTCCACTGCCTCTGTCCTCCCCCTCTCCTCGGGCTCCTCGGGTCTACGGCCATTCGCGGCCGTTCAGCTCGCCACCCACTCTCTTAACGAATCCTCTGGTCTCCTGTCGGCGCAGGGGGCGGAAATTCGTTACTTTCCCCGGCGATTTCAAGTTCAGCAACTGCTAGAATGGTGGACGCTACAGTTTCAACAGGTTCTCTGTGGGTCGACGTGTGCGGCCATAATTTCGGCCACGGTCGCCGGACAACCGTGCTGCGTAGCCGGTAGTGCGCTTGGCGTTCTCATTTGGCATTCAATAGTAGAAAACAGAAGGAGGAGGGCAGGAGGTGGAGACGGGAAGAGGGAGGAGGGAATAGTAGTGAGATCGATAGATAGAGAGAGAGAGAGAGAGAGAGAGATCGACCATGGGATCGACTGAGCGAGGCGTTGAATCCCAACATCCGAACCTCCTTATCACCCGAAGGGTGTTCGTACAGGTATTGATCAGGAGCTGTAGAAAACCCGTCTCCGAAGGGAACGCGGAACGAATGGAAGAGGAACCGCTCCCAAAGACTTACGCCCAGAGGGCTGGTGGGAGTTGGGGTACATCGAGCATTCGATACCCATCTTCAAGGCCTCTTCTGGGACTCGGGGCTGCCTTAGGGCCTCCTGGGGCGATATTGTGACATCGTAAAGCTTCGGGGTGCCTCGAGGCACCCCGAAGCTTCACGATGCCACAAATGGGCAAAATGGGCAAATGTGGGGAACATACTGGGCTTGTCGAAGTGATGTTGCGACATTTTGTTGACGAATGCTGTGAACAAAACATGGCAGTCACACCGTATCGAATTCTGTTGTGCTGCTGCATGTCGGTGTGCTTTCCCGGGAGCGTCTCCCGGGGTCCGGACCATCATACCTGCATCGTGGAGGCTTGGAGGAGGAGGGTGAGGAAGGAATAGGCGTATCAATCGTGGCGATGACCATCTTCCTGGACTAACATGAGAATACCCGCAACATCCTCTCCCTCCTCCAGCCTCTCCCCCTCTCTCGCCCTCCCCTTCGTTCTGGAGGGCGACTCTTCCCGCCTCCCCACCCCTCCTTCCCCTCCCCACCCTCCCTCGGGGGCGCGCGCGCGCGGAGGGGTGGCGTGAGGGAGGGCGGGTGGCAGAGGGAGGCAGACGAGGAAGGAGGGATGAAAAAGGGGGCATCGCAGGGAGGCGGACTGTCCCGAGAGCCGTGCCCGTCTGGCACCCGATCGCTGCGCGGCCGCCGCAGCCCCCTGCGGCAGTCAAAGTCCAGCGCGCCACGCCTGCCACTCCGTCACACTGACAGGCGCGGGCACGCGGGGAGGAAACATTTGGGGAGGAGGGAGGAGGAACGAGCAGGGAGGAGGGGGCACGCAGGGAGGGAAGCAGAAGGAGGAACAAGAGGGAGAAGGGGAGATGAGGAAGATGATGATGAGTAGGAGGAGGAAGAGGAGGAGGAGGAGGAGGAAGAAGAGGAGGAGGAGGAGGAGGAGCAGGATCAGGAGGAGGAAGGAGGAGGAGCATCAGAGAGCGGGAAGGACGAGGAGGAGGAGGAGGAGGAGGAGGAGGAGGATTGCTGATCACTGCGGCAACAGAGGTCGGCGTGTGCTCGAGAAATCTGGCGCAGACCGTGAAGAACCAGTGTGGGGCACTCTTCCGACACTGTGCTTGGCGCGGCCCCTGGCGGCCACATGGCCAGGATCTGGGCAACCCTAGACAGAAGCCACCGACGGCGCATGCGCGACCCGCGGCCCCCGAAGCTGGGCAAGCGCGCTCAGCCAGGCAGTGAACCTGGCGCAAGCTTTATTCCCCAATCAGTGCTTGCACTGAAGGGGTCCTAGCGGAAGTTGAAAGACTTGGCGAAAGTTTCCCGCTGAGTTTGGAAGCAGGCCAGGTTCCCGGGTTCCTGGTTCCGGGTTCCGGCGGGTTCCCAGTTATTGGTTCCGGGCCGATTTCGGTGGGTTCTGAGCTCCCGGGCTCCGGGGTTCTTTTTCGATCTCCTCAGCGAGACCCATTCCTTGATTGTGGTTTTCCTCTGCTGTAATCTAATACACAAGCCCTCGCGGCAGAAAGTTCATGCCCCGTGCCGCGTCGAACCGCTGGAAGGGGGGGTAAACCAAGCGCTGCCCATTTTGTTCGCGTCACAGGGGCTCTGTATTGGAGCGGCGGTCATGGCCGATACAGGTTCACACAGCCAGCCCCGCTAGGCTCCCGAGGGCTCTGGAGGGAGGTCACACTGCCCGCCAGCACGGTTGCGTGATTGCCGCAAGTTGGCAACGCCATATAATAGACGCACGGGTCAGGGGCCCCGTGCCGGGGGGGAACCTGGCAACGGGGTTCATCCGGCCTCAGCAGAGGGGTCCCCACCTCCACTTGTTCCACGGCTGGTCGCTGGATCGACTTGTAGCCCGCCGAGTGGACGGGGAGGCGGATTAGGAGGGATAGGATCATGCGGAGGAGGAGGAGGAGGAGGAGGAGGAGGAGGAGGAGAAAGAGGAACATGAGGAGGAAGCGGCGTACTGGTCCCGCTCATCTGCTCCCTGTGCCGTTTTTGTTCCGCCCCGTCTCCGAGGGAGCTGAGGACCTGATGAGAGCCTGTGTGCCAGGGAGGGAGGGAGGGAGGGAGAAAGCAGGAGGAGGAGGAGGAGGAGGAGGAGGAGGAGGAGGATGAGGAGGAGGAGGAGGGGGAGAGGGAGGGGGTGGGGGAGGGGGAGGGGCAGGAGGAGGGGGCTCACCTCCTGGCGGAGCGCGAGGGCCGCTAGGTATGCCCGTTGCGCGCGGGGCATGCTCCGCGACGAGATCCACCCCCGTGAAAGCTGCCCAGACGCTGTGGCCGCCGCGCGCGGCGTGGTTGAGGTTATGCCGCGCCGCTGCTCGACCGCCGTCTGGTCCTCTCGCGGGCGCTGAACACAAGCTCGCGGGCGGCCTCTGGGTGCCCCAGCTGACCCCGCCAAGTGGCGGACTGCTGCCGGGCCCCGTCGTGCCAGCCGGCAGAGTCACGGGAGCCGTTGCATCACATTGGTTGTCTTCTTGCGCTGAGCCAGCTTGCAAGCCAGTGCCCGAGGTGGCCTCGCCGCGGCTTCCAACAAATCATACCTCATAAGCGAGAACAGGCGTTAGGAGAATAACAATAGCAACAAAGAAGGAACAGCAACCATAAGCAACCAGCAACAACAAAAAGAGGAATAAGAGAGAGAGAGAGAGAGATGGACAGGAAGAGAAGGACGAATTAGGAGGATGAGAAGGAGGGGAGCGGGGAGGTGGGGGTCTTAGCAGGTTCAGGTGTTTTGCATGGTGGACCGCCCTCATGTGGAGGACCCAGAAAGATGGGGCAGGAGGCAGGGGGAGGAAGAGGAGGAGGAGGAGGAGGAGGAGGAGGAGGAAGGAGAAGGATGAGGAGGAGAGGAGAGAGAGGAGGAGGGAGGGCGGAGGGAGGAGGAGGAGGGAGAGGGAGGAGGGAGAGGGAGGAGGGAGGAGGGAGAGGGAGAGGGAGGAGGAGGAGGGAGGAGGGAGAGGGAGGAAGGGAGGAGGGAGGAGGAGGGAGGGAGGGGAGGGAGGAGGGAGGGAGGGGGGAGGATGGAGGAGGGAGGGAGGGAGGGAGGGAGGAGGAGGAGGAGGAGGAGGAGGAGGAGGAGGGAACAAAAAAAGGAGGAGGAGAGTGAGGATAGTGGACGGAGGAGGATGTGGTAGGTTCTAGTGTGTATGGGCATGTTTGAGTCAGGATTATTGTGGGTCACCATTGCATTTCAGGAGGTAGGTCTTATACTGATTATTCTTCTCTTCGTATTCCGTAGTCTTCTGATGAGTGATTAGGTTTCTTCTTCTGTCCGTCGTATGCCTTATGATGAATTTCACCAAAACACAAACAACCACATGGATTGGGCCTTTCTTTAGTTAGCCTTACTCTACTTTTTCTTCTGCTTCTGTCTGCTTCTTGTTTTTTATTATTCTCCGTCCTTATTAGGAGGAGGAATGGAGGGAACGGGGAGGAGACGCCTTCGCCGCAGCCGACACTCTCAGGCTCCAGCCCGCGGGGGCCACCGCGGCCCGCCCGCCCCAGGCCCCCGCCGAGCGGCCATGCCGACGAAGAGGAAGGACGCCAAGGAAGCCAAGGCCACCGAGGAGCAGAAGTCGGACGCGGAGATCATCAAGGAGTGGTGGAGGTCAGAGGAGGAACATATCATAATGACTAACTGCATAATCGGAAAGTTTAGGAGTTCCGCGCGGATTTCTTGAATCGGAGCCTGGGGCCCCCTAGCGGCGCCTCCGTTGCCGCCCTTGGCGCGCTCCGCACGCCAGGGACGGGGTGCCGCTCCGATCCAGGAAATCCGGACGGACCTCAACACGTCTACTTGCATGCCTTCTTTTGTTCCTCGAGGAAAGATGCCGACATCGCTGTCCGTTCTAAAGGGCTCTCGTCGCCAAGGCTAAATTCGTGTCAAAATTCTAGTCAGTATGCATCGCAGGAGAGGTCCTGGGAGTAGCGGTATCGCCATTGTCTGTCCCCCCGGGAGGACCTTGACATCTTGGTATCGTGAAGGCACCGACGGGTTTCGGCAGATTTCGGTCTCCAGGGGCTCTTGCAGGGTCCCAGGGCTGTCAACAAAAATAATCCAGGATGAAAAGTTGGTCTCTTGAAAGGGGCCCAGACCTCTGTGGAACCATGTCACGGAAACAACGCGACGTCAGATGTCTTGGGAGGGGGGGCGGAGGAGGTGGATGAGGTGGAGGAGGGCAAGGGGAGGGGGAGGGGGGAGAAGGAGGAGGAGGAGGAGGACAGAGGACGAGATGAGGGAAGGGAGGAATGGGAGGGAGAAAGAAGGGAAGGGAACGGGAGAGCGGAGGAGGAGTCAGGCGGAATCAGGCAGGAGGAGGAGGAGGAAGGAGGTGTAGGAAAAGAAGTCAATAAGGAGGAATAGGGGGAGGAGGAGGAGGAGGAGGGGAAGTAGATGGCGAGGCGTAAGAGGAGGAGGGGGTGGAGGAAGAAGGAGACCGAACAGGATAATGACACAGCAAGAGAAGGAGACATACACATCCAGCTGCCTGCGGCAATTCCTGGCACCGTGCCAGCCCAGCAGCCTGTATCGTGGCGATTGACACATCGTGTCCCCGTGGCTTGGGCGCGAGGTGACTTGTGACTTGGGGTCCTTGGGCCGTCTCGAGGCTCTCTTAGGACGTCCTGGGGCCCTCTTGGCCGTCTGGGGGGGTCTCTTGCGGCCGTCGTGGGGCTGTCTTGTGCCCTCGAGGGGCTCTCTAAGGCCGTCTTGGGTCCCTCCGGAGGCCCTCATGGGCCGGCTCGCGGCTCTCTTGGGGCCGTCTAGGTGAGGGGCCCTCTCTTGGGCTGTCCCGAGGCCGCTCGGGAGGATCATTGTACAATTTTGGACCACCTTGAGGTCATCGGCCAGCTTGGAGGGCTCCGAGGCCATCTGGAGTTGAAGGAAGTCCGAAAAGGTGAAGACGCCCAAATCTTTCAAATCTGGTCAGGGGAATCTGAGATTTTGGCCTCTTCGGTCCCTACGGGGGATCCTGTCGTGGCCCCCTTGGGCCGTCTTGGAGGCCTCTTAGGCAGTCTCGAGGCTATCAGGCCGTCTTCGGTCTTACGGGGCCATCTCGGGCCGCTTTGGAGAAATATTCAGCGATATTGGCGGTGTTGGCTGCCTGCCTCGACTGTTTCGGATGGAAGCTCGGGAGCGTGGATCCATTGCTTTTGTTACAAGGGGCCGCCGTGGCCTCGCGAGCGCGGATGCAATTTTCCGCGAGGTATCGTCGCTTGGAGGGAGCGGGGGTTGGGAACCGGACCCCCCCTTCCCCCCCCCCTGGATGGAGGGGGGGGTTTTGAACCCCCCCACCCCCGCCTCCTCCCCTACTTTTCCTCTCTCCCTTTCCTCGGGCCGGCGCCTGCGTCGGCGGCGACTGGCGGCGGCGGCGGGGGCGACGACTTCCTTTTCTGGGCCGGCGCCGGCGCCTGCGGCGGCGGGCGGCGGCGGCAGGGAGCGTCGACGAGGATGACGGCGACGACGATGACGACGACGACGACGCTCCGCCACCGTGCGTTGGTTTTGGGTCAGAGTCCTCATGGATGCCTCTTGGGGTTTCGTCGGAAGGCTCTCGGGGGCCTCTGAAGGGTATTTGTGAAGCCTCCTGGGCGCCTCTTGGGCGTCTCATGGGGCCTCTCTGGGGTGGTGTTGGTGGTGGGCTGTGGTGGTGGTGTTGGTGGTTGTGGCGGTGGTGGTGGTGGCGGTGGTGGTGGTGTGGTGGTTGTGGTGGTGGCGGTGGTGGTTGTCGTGGTGGTGGTGCGGTGTTTTCTGGTGGCGGTGGTGGCGGCTGTGGTTGTGGTGGTGCGGTGGTTTCTGGTGGTGGTGGTGGTGATGGTAGTTGTGGTGATGGTGGGTTGAGGTGGTGGTGGTGGTGGTGGCGGTGGTGGTGTGGTGCTTTGTCGTGATGGTTGTGGTGGTGGTGGTTTTGGTGGTGGTGGTGGATGTGGCGGTGGGTTGTGGTGGTGGCGGTGGTGGTGGGTGTGGTGGTTGTGGTGGTGGTTTGTTGTGATTGTGGTGGTGGTTTGTGGTGGTGGTGGTGTGGCGGGTTGTGGCGGTTGTGGTGGTTTTCGCGGTGGTGGCGTGGTTGTGTGGTAGATTGTTGGTGGTGTATTGTTGTGGTGGTGGTGGTGGTGGTGGTGAGTTGTTGTGGTGGTGGTAGTGGCTGTGGTGGTTGTGTGGTGGTTTGGTGGTGGTGGCGGTGGTCGGTTGAGATGGTGGTGGTGGTATTGGTGGTGGTGGTGGTGGTGGCGTGGTGGTTTGTGGTGGTGGTGGTGTGGCGGGTTGTGGCGGTTGTGGTGGTTTTCGCGGTGGTGGCGTGGTTGTGTGGTAGATTGTTGGTGGTGTATTGTTGTGGTGGTGGTGGTGGTGGTGGTGAGTTGTTGTGGTGGTGGTAGTGGCTGTGGTGGTTGTGTGGTGGTTTGGTGGTGGTGGCGGTGGTCGGTTGAGATGGTGGTGGTGGTATTGGTGGTGGTGGTGGTGGTGGCGTGGTGGTTTGTGGTGGTGGTGCTGCTGCTGGTAGCGGTGCTGGTGGTGGTGGTGGGTGGTGGGTGGTGGTGGTTGTGGTGTTGGTGGTGGTGGTTTGTGGTGGTGGTGGTGGTGGGTTGTGGTGATGGTTGTGGTGGCAGTGGTGGTGGTGATTGTGCTGGTAATGGTGTGGTGGGTTTTGGTGGTGGTGGTCGTGGTGGGTTGTGGTGGGTTGTGGTGGTGCTGGTGGTGGTGGCGTTTTTGGTGGTGTTTGTGTAGTGGTTTGTGGTGATGGTTGTGGTTGTGGTGGTGTTGGGTTGTGGTGGTTGTGGTGGTGGTGGTGGTTGTGGTGGTGGTGTTGTGGTTTGTGGTGGTGTTGGTGTCAGAGTTCTAATGGATGCCTCTTGAGGTCTCGTCAGAAGGTTCTCGGTGGCGTCTGGGGAGCATGTGTGAAGCCTCGTGGACCTTCCTGAGGGCCTCTCGGTGGCTTCTGGGGGGAGAGGGCTCGATATGGCGATTTGTGTGGTCCCTCTGCTGCCTCTGGGCCCTCTCTGGTAATCGTCGCTGCGTCCCCACCGTCGGCGCTGCTGGCCGCCGCCAGCGACGGCGCCGGCGCCGGGGAGGTGGTTTGGACCCCCCCCCCACTGGTGGGCCCCTCTGGTCATCGTCGCTGCGTCCCTGCCGTCGGCGCTGCTGGCGGCCGCCAGCGCCGGCGCCGGCGCTGGGGAGGGGGGGGGTTCGCCGGGAGGGGGGGGGGGGTAGCGGGGGGGGGTAGCGACCGCATGTGGGCCCAATCCCAACCCATTGGGCCCAATCCCAACCAACTGGGACCAATCCCAACCAGTGCGAAAAGCAAACTGGGCCCAATCCCAACCATCTTGGGATAGCCCCACAATAAGATTTTAATTGTACAGAAGCCCAAGACGACTGCGAAGACCAAGTGGCACCCCTTTATGTCAACGCAGAAGACCTGGAAGCCAACATGCGTGCTCGAGTTGGAATTGGTCTCAGTTTTTTGGTCTGCGCACGAGCACTATGTTAAGATGAGCAGGAGGACACCGAAGCGTAAGCAAAAACGGTTCGAATTGCATCGATTGTAAAATTTGCAAGTTGGATCCTCCTAGTACTAGGAGTAGTAGTAGTGGTAGTAGTAGTAGTAGTAGTAGTAGTAGTAGTAGTAGGAGTAGTCGTAGAAGTAGTAGTTGTAGTAGTAAAAGTAATAGTAGTAGTAGTGGTGGTAGCATCAGTAATCGTAATCGTAGTCGTAATCGTAGTCGTAGTAGTCGTAGTAGTCGTAGTAGTAGTCGTAGTAGTAGTAGTAGTAGTAGTAGGAGTAGTAGTAGTAGTAGTAGTAGTAGTAGTAGAAGTAGAAGAAGAAGTAGTAGTAGTCGTAGCAGTAGTAGCCGTGGTAGCAGTAGTCGTAGTAGTAGTAATAGTCGTAGTAGTAGCGAAATAAGTAGCAATAGTAGTAACATTAGTAGTAGTAGCAGTAGTAGTAGTAGTAGTAGTAGTAGAAATAGTAGTAGTAGTAGTAGTAGTAGTAGTAGTAGTAGTAGTAGGAGTAGGAGTAGGAGTATGAGTAGGGTAGTAGTAGTCGTAGTAAGTAGTACAATAGTAAGTCGTCGTAGTAGTAGTAGTAGTAGTAGTAGCAGTAGTAGTGGTAGTGGTGGTAGTCGTAGCCGTAGCAGAAGTAGTCGTAGTCTTAGTCGTAATTGTAGTAGTCTTAATCGTAATAATGGTAGTAGTAGTCGTCGTAGTAACAGTAGCAGTAGCAGTAGTAGTAGTAGTACTAGTAGTAGTAGTAGTAGTAGTAGTAGTAGTCGTAGTCGTAGTCGTAGTCGTAGTCGGTGTCGTAGTCGTAGTCGTAGTCGTAGTAGTAGTCGTAGTAGTAGCAGCAGTAGTAGTAGTAGTAGTAGCAGTAGTAGTAGTAGTAGTCGTAGTAGTAGTAGTAGTAGTAGTAGTAGTCGTAGTAGTAGTAGTAGTAGTAGTAGTAGTAGTAGTAGTAGTAGTCGTACTAGTCGTAGAACTAGTAATAGTAGTAGTAGTCGTCGTAGTAGAATTGGTAATCTTATTAACATTAATAGTAGTAGCGGTAGTAGTCGTAGTAGTAGTAGTAGCAGTAGTAGTAGTAACAGTAGTAGAAGTAGTAAT